AAGTAAAACAGTTTGAAAAGTAAGAGATTCACTTGTCGATAGTTATTAATCACATGTGATTGATATAATAACTATCGTAACTTTACGTGTATCCCCCCCCCCCCATAAAAGTATTTATAAAGATTTGAAAACATTTAAAAGGTTAATTTAGGGGTATGAACTCACCTGTAGTGAGTGGTTTGAATGAACAGACTGTACAGGATGTTAGGTGTCAAGTGAAGGCTTGAACATACACGCGGATCCTATTTATCATATGTGACACATATATGAATACAATTAGTGTTTAAAACAACTAATTATTGAGTTGGGACCACCTTAGGGACTAGTAAACACTTATATTGAAGTGTTATAACCATAAATGATTGCATATAAGGGGCATTTGGCTACACAATGGAGTGTGCGGCCAATACACACACTATAAGTGTGTGTGCGGCCAGGAGGCGTGTGCGGCCAGTGTGTGTGGCCAGAATGTGTGTGAGGTCGTACACACTTAGTGTTGTTGGTGTTCCTAGCTAAAGATGCTACCTTTTATGAAGATCCTCAAGGAGATTTGGATGATACTTGAGAGGATTTCGGGTCCTAGCTTTGAAGAAGTGTAGAATGTGTTAAAAATGACTAAGTTTTGAATATATAGGAAGGAGTGTGCGGTTGGGATGGGTGTGTGGTTGCACACTCTAGTGTGCGGCCACACACACCTCTTGTTGGTGTGATTGGCTAAATTGCAAGGCGATACACCCACAATGCTTATCCCACAACTCCTACCCTGCTTATACTAGGCTTTAAACACTTTATTTGACTCCAAAAAGTGCTAAACACGAGTTTAACTTTGATAATACTGAAGAATGTAAGCTAGAAAATCCTGGTTGTCACATGAAGTGTCCCTAGAAGCATATGGTTGCATGTAGACCTGAGCCTCTACGACTATGAGTGAGGCCTGAATGATTCGATCTATACCTAATGTTTCTTCCCAATCAGGCTGTTGTATTCACTCAAGTCATGAGCTACCCTACTCTTCTCAAATGAGTTATGAGTTTTCTACTTAGTCACTTTCATATAGCAGGGGTACTATCGGTTCTTAACCTCCTCCTCTACATTCTCCATCAAATTTCGTTTCACCAATGTAACCCTTAAGACTCTCAGCTATTACCACTCAGGTTTATGGTTACAAAAAATATGTGTCTATGATCTTTGATGCGTACACCATGTGTTAAGTGAGACCCAAAATCCAACACATATAAATAATTGACGGTGATTTTTAAAATTCAAGATCTCACTTGTTACCTATTGAAATCTCTTTTTATTTTTGTGTGATCTTTATGAAACTGTCTAACACCAAGGCATTTCTTCCCAACAAATCCAGATTAGTTTTTGTTTTTGAGATTTCATTCCATACCCAGTCACAACAAATGATATCTAGCCCACTTTTTCAACAAACTACATCGGTCTCACAAGTGCTTCACTCAACTCTCGGTCTTATATTAAGTATCGAAGTTCGATTGAAGAGAAACCTCCCTTAAAGCCATTATATAAAAAGAAGCCTATCGATGTTTCTTTACAAACACTCGATCGTATTTTTCGGGGAACCATACAAGCACTTCAAGTCTTTCTTGACTTTGAAGGAAGTGATTTGTGCCCGGAATCATCTGCTTCACTCACATCCGATACACATTTTGTTTTATTTCTTTATGTTTGGCACACTCTCGCACGAAAATTATTTGTAATTTTCCAAAAGTCTAGTTACTGTTATGTTTTGTTGTTAATTGAAGCAAAAGTGGTCACTTTACAGCGAATGAATGAGTTATGTTTTTCTTGGGCTGAACATTGAAGATTGTTTTGGAGTAATGATATGTGGATAAGAATCGGCATCGAGTCATCCAATAACGATTGAATTTGGGCGTGTGAATTCAAAATGGTTCCTATATCCACGTGTGATGAAGTCTATCTAGGGAATCCCAGCAGTCAAATCGAGATTTTTCAGGCGAATTTTCAGCGATCTTATACTCATTACAGATGATTTTTCTCTCTCCTGGAAACGGTATAAGAGAGGATTTTCACACCTCTTGTACATCACTACCTTCTTGATACAACAGGCGATTATTACTGTTCATCTTCTTCTTAACATCAACAATGGCAAAATCTTCATCTCTTCAAGATCAAACTGCATCATCATCATTGCTTGCCATCAAACCTAATTAGAACATGATCATTCAACCTAATCCATTCTTATATGATTCATATATGTTACATGTCATTGAATGCATCAAGTACTCCCCACTGGCAATCACTCTTATGCATGTGGAATCTGTTCCTATGTCCCTGCTATCTCAAGTGTATTCTAATGCAACGTACGATAGGAAAAAGGAGAGGATCTACTTTCAAATTTTTAATCACAAGGCATCAATTTCAAAAGGTCGATTCTGCTCTCTGTTAGGGCTTTCTGTCGATGCTTCAGTTATCTCTCCGGACTTCATTACAACAACTTAGTTGTTTACAATGTTTTATGAAATGGGTTACACTGAGGTCCTTACTACTTTCACCAAGTTCAAGAAATATAGTCTACCTCCATAATGGAATGGGTTACTCAGTATTCTTCACAAGGGACTATCTAAACGGGTCAATGGATCTGATCAATCAAATAAGTGTTTTATGACCATTATGTATGGTCTCTACAATGGAATTAACTTAGATTATGGTTCCTTGATATGGTCTCAACTGGTGCAGTGTTTGAACTCCTCGACCAAACATTCTGAAGTTTCTTGTGGTCGTTTCTGGACCCTTGTTACTCGATGGGCAATCAACTCTCTCAAAATTCCTGTCATGAAGGATGCAGTGCTTTCTTCAATAGCAACCTTTCACACCAAGAAGATTATTGTTGCTGATCCAACAAAATTTCCTCACAATGGTTCAATTCCTGAAACCATGTATTGTTGTGTCTCAGCTGAAAGTAAAGTGATGGATGAGTACCGATTGCTTCCTCCCAAGAATCCTCGACAATTGACTCCTGTGATGCAAGCTGCTCTGGATGATGTTGAGAAGCCAGCCAAGTGAGGAAAGAAATATGATTCCAAGAAGGTGGAAACTGAAGAACCTTCTTCCAAGCCAGCAAAATCCAAGAAGCGGAAAGATGAAAAAGTTGCTTCCTCGACTCCCAAGAAAGTTAAAAAGATGGCCCGAAAACCAAAGACCCCTTCACCTCCTAGCTCTGACAATGATGATGAGTAGAATGTTGATGAGGAAGAGGAAGATCAACGTGAAGGTTCTCCTATGGCTAATACACCACCTAGGTCTCCCACTACAAAAGGCAATCTTGATGATACTATTCCCACTCGTCCACCATCACCACCGAAGACTACTGTTCAAGTTTTGGTTGCCCCAATTCCTCCAACTCCTACAACTCAAACTACTTCTACTATTCCACCACCTCCACCTGATAGCTCAATACCCATATCTACAACCCCATTACCAACTCCCATTTATTCCCAAACAACTATCACCTCTACACCGGTCATCCCTATCACAACCGAATCTCCAGTCCAAGTCAACATATCAGATGTGGGGGCAAAGACTGAATATAATCCTAAAGTTACAACCGAGCTAATTTCCCCAAATCATTCTAGTGAATCTGGTCCAATTCTTGGAGACACTGACTTTGAATTCGATTCAACCTACTATAGTCCATACAGAATTCCAAGTGATGAAGATGAAGCAGCTTCGGTGGCCAAGCAATAACTGCATAGCGTTCATGAAAAGCTCGATACGCTAATTGACTCATCAAACAAGTATAATGATGTTGTTTTGAAAGCATTCATGGATACAGCTTTGCAACAATATCATGAATCTATTGATAAATCCACGACTGTTGTGGATAACTCTACTTCTCTTTGAAAAAGAGCAACATCTGATATCAAAGAACTTATTCAAGACTCCAAGGTTTTCTTAGACTCTCTCAAAGGTCACTCTGATACAACTGCTGCCAAGGTGCATGCCTCCATTGATTCTCTTTCTCAGTCACTTCAAGGAAATCAAGTCAAGCTTGAGACGGTTCGTTCTAATATTCTAACCGACAATAAGACTTTTTTGTTGTCGGTTGATTCTCGGTTAGAGAAACTTCAAGCTGATTTGACATTAGAATGCAAACTCTAAGAAGATCTTGCTCAATAGACCACTACAGTTAAAGTACATAAAGCAGAACTAGAAATAGCAGAAAGGGAGATTGATTTGTTGAAGACCGAACGTGCAGTTTTTAGAAGCTGTGCTGGTGATGTGCTCAATATGCTGAACAATGTGGTTCATGCTCATGATCCGATTCTAACTCTTACCATCAGAAATCACCTCACCTCCAAGCTCCTTTTGGCGATTGAACTTTTACGAGAAATGAAGGGTGTTTCAGGGAAGATTGTTCCTCTGCAACAAGGGGAAAAGGTAGACCCCAAGCTCCTCCTGTTCGCCCTACTGTGAAATCGGTGATTGTTAAAACCGAACTGAAGGATAATGTAGCTTCAGGTTCTGGTAGTCAAGAGAAGAAGAAAGGTGTTATTAATTGATGCGACCTTGTCTTGGCTCGATCGGTGCCATTCACTTGGATTCTCGGTTGCCCCTGCAATATCACAAAGAAAGAAGGTCGTCAGCTGCTTTCTGGGAGGAGTTCCCGGAAGAACGCTCCGACGGTCAAGGTAGAGAGTATTTAGGTTCTTTGGGTGTGTTCTCTTTTAAAGTCCAGAGAGCTTACCTCGTAGGTTTGAGAGCGTATCCTTTTATACCTAGCGCCCTTGCCTGGTCCGTACCAGACAAGATCACTTTTTGGGGAGACAAGATCAGGGGCGCTGATTGGAGGGTCATGCGACTTCAACCGTTAGGGCGCTCTCATTGGATCTGATGGTAATGGACTGATTCTTTTACTTGTCCCCCGACCGTATCTTTTGTCTTGGAGCCGGGAGCATCCCTTGGCGGGAGTGAGCCTTCCGCCTGTGCGTTCCGCTCCCGGGAGCGCCAGCGGGCACTAAGCCTGTTGAGCTGAGCCTGGTTGGCATACCCGACTCCTGGGCTAGATGCGATTCTGCCATGCTGCCCTAGGCATGTCATCAAGTCCCCCAGTCCAGTAGTCGTAGGATTGCAACGCTAGTTATGGCGTTCTGGACTTAGATAACTTACGTGTGTTGGTTTTTCTTTATCAGTCATTCCGTCTTTAATGGTGACATGACTGCGCATGGTGACTGGCAGTTATGTCATTCAGCCATTTAAATGTCCCGCCTCTTCATCATTTCTTTTGTAGAAGAATTTACACGGTTTCTCTTTATCTTTTCCTCCTTCTCTCCTCATCTTCCTCTTTCTGGGTTTATCTTCTTCTTTTCTTCCTTTGTTTCTCATGGAAAATCTTCCCGGATCCTCCCTTCTGCCACTGAGTATCATCAACTAGAGATCACATCTGGTTTAACTTCCCTAGAAGGTGTAGAGTTTCCTTCACCTGGCTCCAGTATCTCATCCCCTACCTCTGGCAAGATTGGGGTTTATTTGAAAACCCTAGATGCTGGCATCCGTTTTCATCTGACGGATTTTCAAGAAGAGGTCTTCCAAAAAGATGGTTGCAGTCTCCAAATGTTGACTCCCAATGCAGTCAACAAAGTGGTTCTGTTTGAAATGATCTGCAGAGCTAACGGGTATCTTCCGTACTACTTCGTTTTCAAGTTTTTCTTCCGATTCAGCGTCACTGGAAACAAATGTACCTTTTCAGTCCGACGAGGGGGGCATGCCCCGGTTCCTGACGGGCGAACCCCTAAGAACTGGCAAGATAAATGGTTGTGGGTGAAGCACGAGTTGGTCGGAAGTGGTCGGTACCGTGCGAATGCTTTTGCTGATACCATCCCCAAACTCTTCCCTCATAACCAAGGTGTTGCTGACTACCTGAAGAGTGTGCAAGTATCCCCTATAGATTATTCTGAGGCTCTGCTTTCTGGTGTAGGGATGAGCCCTTCTTGGAGGCGTCGTGGAAAAATGGCAATGTTTTTCTCCGTCGTTGACGGTGAGTGTTGCACCCCTCTTTTTTCCTTATTCCCCATATTACTACTATATGATTGATAATCCTTGTTCTGACATCCTTAGGTGTTGAATCTTCCCTGTCCATGGATGAGGTGTTACGGAATCGTTATCGGGGCAAGTTCGAGTATCTCGAGGTGGATCTAGTTGATTGGCTTCCCCCACCTCTCCGGATGGATCAGCCTGCCTTAACTGCTGCCCTTTCCGTTCCCCCAATAGGCTCGTCAGCATCGGAGGAGAATCCTTTACACGCTCCCCCATTTCTGCTGCCATGCCCCTGGGTAGTACTCACTCTTCCTCCGTGCAAGGTAGTGAAGACAGCAAAGAAGGGATTATCACCGATGTCCGGTGGATGCAGGCGAAGAGAAAAGATATATTGGCTATGGGTGAGCCGGTCACCGGCGTGCCTACTGCTACCAAGCGAATTCAGACCCGGTGCAGCTTCTCACGTCTGCTGAGTTCTATGACTTCCACACCGACCGGTGTGGTTGTGATCCCTGATGACGACACGCAACAGTCCGAAGGGATCGACAGGGCGACTGAACAGCCCATTGCTTCAACCTTCTCCTTTATTCCTATTCCAGGTGTTCCATTTGTTCCCTTGAAGTTCTCCCCGATTAAAGGTTCTGGCGTCCTTGGTCAAGTTCCAGTTTCTTTAGGTGGTGTATTTAGGGATAGTTCTACTGGGTCTTATGTCTTCGTTCCTTCCTGGGATCTCCACAATGATTCTCGAATTTATGTTCGTGCCAATGCTTTGAAATTTTCCCGCCATGCTTTGCCTCCAGCTGCAGTTGGCGATATGGAGGCTATGAGTAATCCTACCTTTGCTCATAACATGGCTTATGCTGCAGCGCAGGCCATGTTTTACCTTGTTGCAGGTTCCCGATGTGTCCATGCCCTTGGTGAGATGGAGGCCATACATGCTACCTGCGAGTCACGCGTGACCGGGCTGGAGCGTCACCTTGGCGAGCTTGGCGAGGACCTTCGTTTGTCTGAGTAAAAGTGTGAATTGTTGGCTTCTGAGAAGACTGTCCTTGACGAAACTAGGGCCGCTTTGGAGGTTAAGATTGACTCCCTTACTCAAGTGAATGAAGGTTTGATGATCAAGGTGGAAAGTCTTGAGCGTGACGCTGCTGATTGCGATAAACTTATTTCTTCGCTGCAATCGGATGTAGACGCTTCTCGTCGGGACTTGGATTGGTTGGTGCACGTCGATGTTGTTCACATTGTTGATAAATTGATTGAGCACCCAGAGTTTACTAATGCAATAAGTCTCATCCGTCATGCTGGTTTTGTGGCCTGGGTTGAGTCTGTTCAAAAAACTTCTGTTGGTGCTGGTGGCGGGGATGTTGGAGTTGATGCTACTTCCGTTGGTCCTGTGGTTAGCGTGAACGATGCTCTGTTGTCTTTTGCTAGTATGGACCATGCGTCCTTGTTGGGTTTAGGGGAGTTGGGTATTGAGGGTCTCTGGCAATTATGTTCTTTTGGTGGCTTAGAGGGTACCCCGGAGAGCGCAGTGGGTCGTGAGGTGGTGCAGGTAGTTCAGGTAGATGGTGGAGGAGGTAATGGGGGTGGGGAGGATGATGGTGATCGTATCGTTGGAGCAAGCATTGGTGATGGTAGTGGAAGTGAGGTGGCTGTTGTGGGAATTGAAGTTGCAGGTGATGGGAATGATGTTGTTGATGATGCTTCGGCATCGTGTGCTACCCTTCTTGGGGCGTGAATTTTTTTTTCGCATGTTTCAGTTTCTATCTTGAAGGTTTCTTTTGATGGCCATATGGTGCCTTTAGTTTGTATAACGTATGGAATTTTGAACAATATTCGCTATTTTATGTGTGTAATCATGCACTCTAAGTGTTGCTTGTTTGTTGTTTACTCTCTTTTTCTCTTTTTTTTTGTTTTGAAGAAAAAAAACATAGCGCTCTGATGCGCTAGGCGTTCTACTTCGCCTATGTCGTCTTCTACACGCTAAGTGTCGACACTGGGTGCTCTTAGTACCCAACGAATGGATCTCTACATGCGCAATTTCAATTGTTAAGAGTTAATACACTAAGTATTAAAGAAATACACGAAGTATTAGACACATGTCACTAAGCATTTTCATCAATTAGCATTTGAATGATCCCATTACATTATCCATGGACTATAAATACTCTAAGTATTAGACTCATGTCACTAAGAATGAACTTGTGTACACTAAGTACTTGGGATGCGCCGCACTAAGCAGCGCATTGATCGACTGGGACTACACTTCTTTCTTCTTCAAAAGAAAAACTTTCTCAAGTTCCTAGCATTCCACGTTCTAGGAACCTGCCTTCCTTCCATCGTTTCTAAGGCATATGTGCCATTCCGATTTACTTCCGTGACTTTGTAAGGGCCTTCCCACGTTAGGCCCAGTTTTCCTTGGGGTTGGGCTCGACTCGCTTCATTTTTCCTCAGAACATACTACCTACCTTGAATTCTTTCTCTTGTACCCTTTGGTTATAATATCTTTTTGTTGCATGCTTGTATATAGCCTGGCGCATTTCTAATTTTTCGCATTTTTCTTCTAGGATATCTAGGTTTATCCTCAGGTCCTGTGCGTTGCTTTCTTCATCCGTGTTAGCCACCCTTAGTGTACTTACCGTTAACTCCATGGGGAGCATGGCTTTTGTCCCGTATGTCAAGCTGAACAGGGTCTCTTGCGTGCTCGTTCGTGGCGTGGTCCTGTATGACCATAACACTGTCGGTATCACCTCCGGCCAGTTCCCTTTTGCTTTGCCCAATCTTTTCTTGATTCCATTCATGATGGTTCGATTGGACACGTCCATTTGTCCTTTCGCTTGTGGGTGCGTTACTGATGTGAATCATTGACTTATCCCTTTAGCGGTGCACCACTCCTTGAATGGATTCTCAGCAAACTGTGGGCCATTGTAACTGATGAGTACTTTAGGCATCCCAAATCTTGTCATAATATTCTTCCATACAAACTTTATCATGTTTCTCCCTGAGATGCATGCTAATGGCTCTGCTTTAATCCATTTTGTGAAGTAATCCACGACCACCACCATATATTTTATCTTCCCTGGTGCTTCTGGGAATGGGCCTACTATATTTATACCCCATTGGTAGAATGACCACGAGCTGGATATGTTGTGCAATGGTTTTGGGGGTTTGTTTGGACTGGAGCGTACGACTGATATTCCCTGCATCTCCTGGCTATATCTAGCGCATTTTGTTGTATTGTGGGACAGTATACACCTATTTGAAGTACTTTTCCTGTTAAGGCACGTGCCCCCTTGTGTGCACCCACTTGGCATGTGTGTGCTTCCTCTAGCATCTCTCCCCCTTTGGCTCGGTCTACACACTTCAGCCATGGCATTGTGAGCCCTTTCATGTATAGTTCTCCATTTATTAATGCATATGAGGGTGCTTTTATACTTATCTTCATGGCCTCGCTGTGATCATCTGTGAGCACCCCTCTCTGTAGGTATTCCCTGAATGGTATCATCCACGTTGGTCCATTGGTCGTCAAGGTATTCACCTGTTGTTCGTCTATACTTCTTTCCAGTAGCACCTCTACCAAGACTTTCTTCGATAGGTGATCAAAACACGTGGATGCCAACTTGCTTAGGGCATCAGCCCTCTTGTTTTCGCTCCTAGGTATCTGCCTAACTGTGAACTGCTTAAACGATTCGATTAATTGTTTCACCATCTTCATGTACCTTCCCATTCTCTGATCTCTTACTTCGAAACTTCCATTGACTTGGTTTGCTGCTAGCCTTGAGTCAGTCAGGGCTGTTACGGCCTTTGCACTCATTTGCTTGGCTAGTCGCAATCCTGCGAGCAGAGCCTCATACTTCGCTTCATTGTTTGATGTGTGAAAATCAAAACAGAGGGTGTAGGTCACTTCTTCCCCCTCAGGGCTGGTCAATATTAAACCCACCCCCGAGCCCTCCCTGTTGGATGCTTCGTCCGTATATAATGTCCACGAACTATTGTCAAGCGGAGCTCCTTCAACCGCCCATACCTTCTCCTTAACGGGATCCCCTTCGTCTGGGATTTCTAGCAGGAAGTCGTCCAACGCTTGTCCCTTAATACTTGTCCTCGAATGGTAACTTATGTCATGCCCCCCTAGCTCGATTGCCCATTTCGCTAGCCGACCTGACGTCTCTGTTTTAAGCAGTATTTGTTTGATGGGGCAGTTCGTTAGCACTTCGATCTGATATGCTTGAAAATACCGCCTTAGTCATTGTGCCACGTAGATGAGCGCCAGAACTAATTTTTCCAGGGTGCGGTAGTTGAGTTCTGGCCCTTGTAGTGCCCTGCTTACAAAATACATCGGCCTCTGCTCTCCTTCTCTTACTACAGTTAATACTGAGGATATCGCTTCGTTTGAGGTCAAAAGATACATTTGCAACGTTTCCCCCGGGACAGGACTGGCCAAAGTGGGTAGCTTGTGTAATGCCTCCTTGATTTTCTGGAGCACCACTTCTGCTTCGTTCATCCACTGGAAGTTGCTCTTTTCAATGCAGCCTTTTAATGTGTGAAACAATGGCATGGCTTTGTTAGCGGATTTTGAGATGAACCTGCTTAGAGTTGTAAGCTTCCCATTTAGGCCCTGCGCGTCCCTGAGGGTGACTGGGGTTGGCGTTTCAATAAACTCACCCACCTTGGTCGGGCTGGGCTAGATGCCTTGCCTGATGACATAGTATCCCAAGAACTACCCTTCTTCTACCCGAACATGCATTTAGCCGGGTTTAGCTTCATCTTTACCTTCTCTAGGTTTTGGAACATCTCTTCGATGTCCTGTAACATCCTGTCTTCGTGCGGACTCTTGAACACCATATAATCCACGTATACCTCAATGTTTCTCCCGATTTTTTTGGCAAAGATCGAGTCAACTAAGCACTGATATGTAGCCCCAACATTCTTTAGACCGAACGACATCTTAGTGTAATAGAAAGTGCCATGGTCCGTATAAAAAGCCGTTTTTTCCTCGTCCTCTTTGCTCATCAAGATCTGGTGATACCCTTTATATGCATCTAAGAAACACTTCATCTTGAATCCTTGCAATGACTCTACCTTTTGGTCAATTTCTGGGAGGGGGTAGCAATCTTTAAGGCATGCTTTGTTTAAGTCGGAAAAGTCTATGCACATTCGCCATGACCAATCCTGCTTGTGAACCATAACTGGGTTGGCGATCCATGTCAGAAATATTGCTTCTCTTACTATTCCAACTTCTACTAGTTTGGCCATTTCGGTGTTGATTACCCTATTACGGTCCCCACCCTGGACCCTCTTCTTTTTCTTAACCTCCTTTACTCCTGGTTTAATTACGAGTTTGTGCTCAATGACTCTCCTTTCTACTCCCACCATATCCGTAGGGGTCCATGCAAACACGTGTTTATACTGTTTGAGAAGGTCGACCAACGCTCTTCTTACGTGACTTGGGAGGTCACATCCAATACTGACCAGCTGTTCAGGGTGTTCTTCGTTGATCACCTCTTTTCCCTTTGCGGGGTCGCATCTTAGCTTCTTGGCCTCTTTAGTTATCTCTGGTGGTTTTATAATTGCAAAGCATTGCAATTCTTTCGGTGGAGTGGCCAGTATTGTGGTTGCGCTCGTTGGGATGTCAAACTTCATGACTCCATGCATAGTTTATGGAACCGCCCCTAGCTTTAGAAGAGTCGTTCTTCCTAGAATAATATTGTGTTCCGCCTCATGTCGAATGACCACAAAGTCGATCAGGGCGGTTTTCTTTTGCTGCTTATCATGGCTGGTTATGGTTAAGGGAAGGTGAATCGTGCCTAGTAGCCATAGGCTATGGCCGGTGATCCCAACTAGCCTCCCCGTCGTGGGTCGTAAGTTGTCCTTCCAACGATCTGGGAGAAGCCGGAAGCAGTGCTCGTAAATGATGTCCGCCGAACTTCCCGTGTCCACGTAGACCCTGTGTATGGTTATATCCCTGATGGAGGCTTGGATCACTAATGGGTCGTCGCCCTTCCATCCCTCCGGGAGAGGGTCTTGAACGGAGAATGTGAGCATGCGCAATGGGGCTCTGGCGGCCCCCTGTTCCATTTGTTGTTCTCCCCTACTTCTCTTACTCCGTATCATGAATATCTCCTTGGGCTGGACCCCTTTGCGAGGTGTGTTTTAAGCGTTTCCAGCATCAAACTTGGCACACAAGCTTCGTGCTATTTCCACCAAGTCCCCTTTAAGCTGCTTCTCCTCCATTTCTTTTTTAACACCGAACATTTAGTTGTGTCATGCGTCTTACTTTTGTGGTACTCGCAGTACCAGTTCTTTGGCGACTTGGCTGGCTGCTGCTTCTCCGACACTGTGTACACCTCCGGGTGACGGCCACGCCTGTCATCCTTAGCAAACGGTCGGAACCGAGCCTGTGGTCTTCTTGTTTGGTCGTAGTGCCTACTTCCCCCTCGGAAGTCCGTGTGACCCGGGTTGTGGTGTTTGGTAGTCATTGCGTTCAAGTAGGCATGTTTTGCTGCTTCGCCATCCTCCTACCTCAAATATTGCTCCACCCTTTCCTTCAATTCGGCCCGTGTTAGGGGCTTCTTTCCCATGAGTTTTTGCGATAAGGGGCCTAGCAAAAGCCCTCACGTGAAGGCGTCGACTATGAGCCCCTCGTCATGCCCCGGTACGTCTAACGTGGCGTTTATGAATCTTGTCAAGTATTCCCATATAGTTTCACCCTCCTTTTGCTTACAGCCTATGATTTAATGAGAGTCTCCCTTGTACTTGCGTAATTGCATGAAGTTGGTAAGGAAAAGATACTTAAGCTAGGCAAAATTAGAGATGTTGCCTGGTCGTAACGTCTTGAACCACGTGTCGGCGTTGACATCGAGTGTAGTTGGGAAATACGTACACCAAAACATCTCATCAAGCTTCAATGACATCATGGTCCATTCATATGTGTCGATGTGGCTATCTGGGTCAGTGGTTTCGCTATATTTTTCGAGCGTCAGTAGTTTGGCTGTGTTTGGTATTTCGTAGTC